GACTCTACAGGTACAAGTACAGGTACAAGTACAAGTACTCTACAGGTACAAGTACAAGTACAAGTACAAGACTCTACAGGTACAAGTACAAGTACAAGTACAAGACTCTACAGGTACAAGTACAAGTACAAGTACAAGACTCTACAGGTACAAGTACAAGACTCTACAAGTACAAGTACAAGTACAAGTTAAAAATTTTAACCAGATCAAATGATCAAATGAGATAGATTTATAAAAAAAAAATAATAATAATAAAACATTACAAAAAATTAATGTAACTGGAAAATACAAATACATGTAGGAAATGACAAAAATGGTCTTGATTTGGTCTAGTTGGACTGTGGACTCGATCTTGTCTCAGTCTCGACCTTTAAAAGTCTTGGTCTAGTTTTGGTCTCGACTGTCAGACGTCTTCGTCTTGTCCTGGTGTCAAAACCCTGTGGTCTCGCTCTTGTCTCAGCCTCAACCTTTAAAAGTCTCGGTCTTGTCTCAGTCTCGACCTTTAAAAGTCTCGGTCTTGTCTCAGCCTCGACCTTTAAAAGTCTCGGTCTTGTCTCAGTCTCGACCTTTAAAAGTCTCGGTCTTGTCTCAGTCTCGATCTTTAAAAGTCTCAGTCTTGTCTCAGCCTCGACCTTTAAAAGTCTCGGTCTTGTCTCAGTCTCGACCTTTAAAAGTCTCGGTCTTGTCTCAGCCTCGACCTTTAAAAGTCTCGGTCTTGTCTCAGCCTCGACCTTTAAAAGTCTCGGTCTTGTCTCAGTCTCGATCTTTAAAAGTCTCAGTCTTGTCTCAGCCTCGACCTTTAAAAGTCTCGGTCTGTCTCAGCTCTCGACCTTAAAAGTCTCGGTCTTGTCTCAGCCTCGACCTTTAAAAGTCTCGGTCTTGTCTCAGCCTCGACCTTTAAAAGTCTCGGTCTTGTCTCAGCCTCAACCTTTAAAAGTCTCGGTCTTGTCTCAGCCTCAACCTTTAAAAAGTCTCGGTCTTGTCTCAGTCTCGACCTTTAAAAGTCTCGGTCTTGTCTCAGCCTCGACCTTTAAAAGTCTCGGTCTTGTCTCAGCCTCGACCTTTAAAAGTCTCAGTCTTGTCTCAGCCTCGACCTTTAAAAGTCTCGGTCTTGTCTCAGTCTCGACCTTTAAAAGTCTCAGTCTTGTCTCAGCCTCGACCTTTAAAAGTCTCGGTCTTGTCTCAGCCTCGACCTTTAAAAGTCTCGGTCTTGTCTCAGTCTCGATCTTTAAAAGTCTCGGTCTTGTCTCAGTCTCGATCTTTAAAAGTCTCGGTCTTGTCTCAGCCTCGACCTTTAAAAGTCTCGGTCTTGTCTCAGTCTCGATCTTTAAAAGTCTCGGTCTTGTCTCAGTCTCGATCTTTAAAAAGTCTCGGTCTTGTCTCAGTCTCGATCTTTAAAAGTCTCGGTCTTGTCTCAGTCTCGAAAAAGTCTCGGTCTTGTCTCGACCTTTAAAAGTCTCGGTCTTGTCTCAGCCTCGACCTTTAAAAGTCTCGGTCTTGTCTCAGTCTCGATCTTTAAAAGTCTCGATCTTGTCTCAGTCTCTCGACCTTTAAAAGTCTCGGTCTTGTCTCAGCCTCGACCTTTAAAAGTCTCGGTCTTGTCTCAGTCTCGACCTTTAAAAGTCTCGGTCTTGTCTCGGCCTCGACCTTTAAAAGTCTCGGTCTTGTCTCGGCCTCGACCTTTAAAAGTCTCGGTCTTGTCTCAGGCCTCGACCTTTAAAAGTCTCGATCTTGTCTCAGTCTCGACCTTTAAAAGTCTCGGTCTTGTCTCAGCCTCGACCTTTAAAAGTCTCGGTCTTGTCTCAGTCTCGATCTTTAAAAGTCTCGATCTTGTCTCATCTTTAAAAGTTCTCTTCGTCTCGACCTTTAAAAGTCTCGTCTCGTCTCTTTAAAGTCTCGGTCTCTCGACCTCGACCTTTAAAAGTCTCGGTCTTGTCTCGGTCTCGACCTTTTAAAAGTCTCGGTCTTGTCTCGGTCTCAACTCTCAGAGGTCTTGGTCTTGTCTGGTCTCTCAGAACCCTGGTCTTGGTCTCGATTAGTTCGCTCTCTTGACTACAACACAAGTTTACGCCGACGTCAGCTCCCACAGTTTTTTTTTTTTTTTTAATGAACTCATTTTAGATGAATATTGTGTTTTAAAATGTCAAAATGCTTCAATAACTTTCCTTTTCCCGTCTCTCCTCAGGCCACCAGGGGGCACCAGCGCAGCCAGAGCAGCGGTGGAGGCCGGCAGGACTCAGCGGAGCCGTCAGAAGACGAGAGGTCACAGGTCACCGAGAGCGACCCCTCGCCTGACGCTCCCAACAGCCTCTCCCTGTCCTCTCTGCTCGCCCCCTGCTCCATCGCGCCCCCTCTGGTCAAGAAATGCAACAGCACGGGCTCTCTGGACCAGGCCCGGGCCAAAGACGCTCCGCCGGCCAACGCCTGGTCCCAGAGACGACCGGACGAGCACGACGAGCGCGACGAGATCACAGACGCCAACTCCCGAAAGAAGAGATGAAACGTTAACCGATGCGACGCCGGTTTTGTCCACGGAGACTTTAACGAACCGCAAACCCGCTCTCCTCCGCGTTCGGGTCCAGCTGTTTCGGATTCGTCGCGTCTCGTCTTTGGATGTTTTTTTTTTTGGGAACAATTTCGGCACGGTTAAGCGACTTTCTAGCTGGGTTAAAGGCGAACCAACGGGCATTCGTGGACTCCACTTCTTCAGGCTTTCGCAGGGACCGAGAGCGACGTCCAGACTCTAGACTCCAGAGACGTTCGGGGCTGCGAGACCTCGTGTGCCCTCAACTTTTGTGCAAAAACGTGCTGTTGAAAAACCACTCGAAACTTTGTACAGATGTCTGAATTTATTTTGTAATATTCACCGGTAGCATCCAACAGTCTCCTCTTGAAAATCTGTTTTATGTGAAAGGTCCCGTATTAGGCTCAGAACAAACAGTTTTAGATTTTATCCACGTTATAATGTTCAATCAAGAATATACTTTTAATGTTTTGTTTCATTTACGGCCTTTTTGTTTACGGAACATTTGTTCTTTTGAATTTCAAATAAGAACGAAAAACAATAAAATGGGAAAACAGTTTATTATTTAATTGTTCAGTTTTAGTGTCAAATAAAAAAAACAGATCTCGACTTTTGTTTACAATATTTAATTTAAAGTTTATTTCAAAGAACACCAGTCAAAAAACTGTCTCGGTGACTATTTTAATTTTGATATTTTATTCTCTGGTTTATTTGCCCCTCAAGTTCTAGAAGTTCATGTGTGAATTCAGAGTCAACTGGACAAAAAAGGTTTATCTCTGCTTCCTCTTTCCTGTCATGGAGTTCAACAACGACTTTCTGAGACGTGAAAGTAAACGCGTCGCTGTAAAAGAAGACGACATGTTTGTCCACAAAACTGCAATGATTTTTCAGGTGAGTCCTTCTAGCAGCAGAACGTCCAGAGCAAATAAACCAGAGAGTAGTGTCGTAGCACTCAAGACTCAATCCCAGATTCAAGCGCATTTGGACTCGGTCTCGTCTCGGACTCGAGGTTCTGACACTCGTCGAGTTTGATCATGTTTCATTATGGCCACTGCTGACGGCAATAAATGTGTACTCAGTGCCGCCGGCGGGGTCTGAAAAGTCTTAAAAAGGTCTTAAATTTCATGTTCCTAAATGAAGGTCTTAAAAAGTTTTTATTTAATTATGTTGTCCAAGTCTTATTTTTTTCACAAAGGTCTTAAATTTCATTAGCCTATTTTTTTGTAAACTCACCCGGGCTGCGGTGCGACGTTAAATCAAGGGAGGAAAAAAACAACAACGTGAAATCATGTAATGTAAATGAACGTCTAACTTAGAGTATACACAAACAGTACTTTGGTTTCTGGCGCCGGCGGCAGTGAGTAAACATCAGTCGAGGAGGAAAACGTTGGCAGGATCATGGGGAAGTGTTGGTTTAATCCACAGTGGCTCTTAGTTTCTACGTGCAGTTGTTGGTTGGTCATTATTAGAGTTGGAGCTGGTGTTTTTCGTCATATAATGGGTGTGATGTTGGTCTTCATTTTCATTTAAGTGGTCTTAAAAAGGTCTTAAAAGAGTCTTAAATTTGGGGCAGTCAAACCTTGGGATTCCCCGGTGCTGGTGTGTGGTACATGTGAGTTTGGTAAATGTGCAGAGGCTAAATCCCACTGTAAAACCATTAAGAGAATTTAAGTCCAGTTGGAAATTTGAGAAAAACAGATTTAAAAATCCTACACACTGTCTTCACTTTGAAGCAGTTTTGTGTAAAGTGTCAGAGGAAGTTTTCTTAAAGAAGAGGTTCTCAAACTGTGGGTGAGGGGCCAAAAAAGGGGCTCAGAGTGTTTCAGTGCAGCACAGTTTGCTTGTTTTATTTTAATCTTAAATTAATATTTATCAGATCAAATAGAGATAAATCTATAAAAACACTTGATATTCATGTGCTAAAATAAATGTAAAATATAAATTCATGTAAAAAATGACAAAGATGGTCTCGATTTGGTCTTGAGGGACTGTGGTCTTGGTCTTGTCTCGATCTTGACTCTCAGAGGTCTTGGTCTTGTCCTGGTCTCAACCTTTAAAAGTCTTGGTCTTGTCCTGGTCTTGACCTTTAAAAGTCTTGGTCTTGTCCTGGTCTCAACCTTTAAAAGTCTTGGTCTTGTCCTGGTCTTGAACCTTTAAAAGTCTTGGTCTTGTCCTGGTCTTGATCTTTAAAAGTCTTGGTCTTGTCCTGGTCTTGATCTTTAAAAGTCTTGGTCTTGTCCTGGTCTTGATCTTTAAAAGTCTTGGTCTTGTCCTGGTCTCAACCTTTAAAAGTCTTGGTCTTGTCCTGGTCTTGATCTTTAAAAGTCTTGGTCTTTAAAAAGTCTTGGTCTTGTCCTGGTCTCGATCCTTTAAAAGTCTTGGTCTTGTCCTGGTCTTGTCTTTAAATCTTTAAAAGTCTTGGTCTTGTCCCTGGTCTCGACCTTTAAAAGTCTTTGGTCTTGTCCTGGTCTTGATCTTTAAAAGTCTTGGTCTTGTCCTGGTCTTGATCTTTAAAAGTCTTGGTCTTGTCCTGGTCTTGATCTTTAAAAGTCTTGATCTTTAAAAGTCTTGGTCTTGTCCTGGTCTTGATCTTTAAAAGTCTTGGTCTTGTCCTGGTCTTGATCGACCTTTAAAAGTCTTGGTCTTGTCCTGGTCTTGATCTTTAAAAAGTCTTGGTCTTGTCCTGGTCTCGATCCTTTAAAAATCTTGGTCTTGTCCTGGTCTTGATCTTTAAAAGTCTTGATCTTTAAAAGTCTTGGTCTTGTCCTGGTCTCAACTTGGTCTTTCCTGGTCTGAAAAGTCTTGGTCTTGTCCTGGTCTCTTGACCTTTCTTTAAAAGTCTTGGTCTTGTCCTGGTCTTGATCTTTAAAAGTCTTGGTCTTGTCCTGGTCTTGACCTTTAAAAATCTTGGTCTTGTCCTGGTCTTGATCTTTAAAAGTCTTGGTCTTGTCCTGGTCTTGATCCTTTAAAAAGTCTTGGTCTTGTCCTGGTCTTGATCCTTTAAAAGTCTTGGTCTTGTCCTGGTCTTCTTGATCTTTAAAAGTCTTGGTCTTGACTCTCGACTACAACACCACCAGAGAGAATAAAATATCTAAATTAAAATATGCATCGAGACTGTGTTTTTTGGTGTTCTTTGAAATAAACTTTAAAGTAAATATTGTAAATAGAGGTCAAAATCTTTTTTTTTTTTTTTTTTTTTTCTTTTTTTTTTTGGACACTAAAACAGAAAAATGAAATGACAAACTGTTTTCCCGTTTTATTGTTTTTCATTCTTAAATCAAATTCAAAAGAACAAATGGTACACAATCCTTTCACACGTTTGGCTAATTTTATTCCTGGCTTTTCCGTATGGACGCCATTTTGAGGACTTTTCACCATGCAAAAGACAGATCTATTTATAGTATTTCATTTTGAATTGTTAATTGCAAAAGTAAAGTCAATATTTTTTTAGCGAGTCTCTACTACAAAACATCTAAAAACTCCACTTCACCACTTGTTTTCCAAGCCCAAAAAGCACAACTCAGTCATATTTTATTCATTTTAAGTTACAAAAACATAAAACGTCAATACGAACGCCTCAAAACTCTCCATAAAAATCTGAAAAAATAAGCACAATACGGGACCTGTGTAGACGTTTGTACGAAACCGCCGGTACAGGGATCGCTCAAGGGCATTTGTACTGAAAACGGAGACTGCTGCTGAGAAAAAGTGGGATTTTTTTATTTTATTTTATCGAGAAGTTACAGATTCTTCGGAAAATCTCACGAAAAGGGCTAAAAAAAAAAAAGAACGCAGACCTGGGCCAAATATTTAAAGTGTAAAGAGCCGTGGATAGTTGGGTGGTGAGGTGTCCCGTAGGCGTCCGTGGTGCCGCATGTGTTCGTGAAACGGTCTTTGTAGAAGTAGACGTAGAGGTTTGTGCACTAAAGATGTTTCAGGTCATGGACAAGTGTTTTAGAATTTAAATAGATCGTTATAATGAAAATATACGAAGTGAAGGACGTTTTAAACTTTTTAAACGAATAAATAACCTATATATATTATGACTATGCTAAAACTAAGAACTTCTATAAGATAATTTTATTGTTTATATAATTTTAAAAACTACACAGCTGTAAAAGTCACAGTTAAAAGGTTCATTTTGTGGCTTTTCTGCTGGAGGGTCCACTTCTTGCTCGTCTCCATGGAGATGTTACGGCTGCCGAGAATGCTCCAGAGTATGGCGTTAAATTTATCATGCACGTGTTCAATACATGCATCCCGAATCTCGGACTTCCGGTCATCACGCAATTCATACTGGGAAGGATTCTCCGAAAAAGTGAGGGTCAAACCTCCATGTTTGTTGATTGTTTATTGTTTATTTCAACTTCTAGTCATTGTCACAGAAGAACAACGAAATTGCGTTTGGAGCATCCCATAAAGTGCAAACCCATAAATAATAAATACCCCTTAAACCCAAGTGTAAACATTGACCCAGTGTGGCCTCAGTACAACATGAGACGGTTCTTATAGCAGCAAGATGAGGGCGTCAAGTAACGTACACAGACAGGGACGTTCAGACAGAGACCTGAGAATCATGACAAAAATGCAACAGTGCAACCAGTTCAGTGTTATTAAGAGTTGGATGTGGTTTTTGTCCGTGAGGGGGGGGCAGAGTTCAGGAGCCTCACAGCCTGTGGATACAGACTGTTGGTCAGTCTGGATGTTCTGGCCCGTATGGACCTGGACCTTCTCCCTGAGGGCAGCAGGTGGAAAAGGTGGTGCGCAGGGTGATGTTGGTCCCGCAGGATGTTGTGCACTCTTCTCAGACGGCGAGTGGAGCAGATGGTGCTGATTTCTGGCAGAGTTGTTCCAATGATTCTACCGGCTGCTTTCACCACCTGCTGGAGCGTCTGCTGGTCAGCCTTAGTGCAGCCGGAGAACCACACAAAAAAAACATACGTCAGAACGCTGCTGATGGCACAGTTGTAAAAGTT